AAAAACATTGTGACATGTGCGGATAATCCTGATTAGAACCTGGAGTGTCTGCATGAAAAACTCCTTGTCCTAAAGTGAGTTGACTAAAATAATTTCCTATACTTTGGGATTAGTATAAGCCTCTGAATCACTAAACCTTCATGGTACATTAAAACTAAAAAAGAAGATATTTTGCATTAGATGACACTAAATTGCCTTATTAAAAATGAACGGTTAATTTTTATTGCCAAAACTCTTGAAGAAAGGACGATAGGATTAAGTGAAGAGTCGGAATCCTGATTTGTTCATATTTATGGCCCCTTCATCCGACGACAAACATGAGCATTTGTGTAACTTAAACTAATGAATTGATTATTTAAGTGTACATTTATGACCAGTCACTTAGGTTTTCTATCAGATATCAATATTATGTGAAAATGAATATCCTGGTACACAACAACCATATGAACTCTTCTAGTATTAGACCCAAGGACTTCTGCACATCATTGGCAACTCACATGTATCAGTGGGAGAGAATTATTAGTTTATCCCCAATTCAAATTCAAAAACTAGGGCATCATTATCCCTTCATTGGGCAAACTAGGGCATCATTATTCCTTCATTGGGCAAACCAGGACATCATTATTCCTTCATTGAAAAAACGAGCGCATCATTATTACTTCAATGAGCAAACCAGGGTATCATTCGTTCATTTGGAAAACTAGGGCATCATTGATTATCCATTCACTGGGAAAACCAGGGTATCATTGATTTCTGGTCACTTTGTTGAGGACATCAGGCCAACACTTCCTTTCCCTTGTTTGCTGAAGTCATGAGAAACCAATAATGATGTCACATCTAATTGTCTCCTAAAGGAGAAACCTCTAAGCCAAGTAAATACAATTGAGACAGATGGTAAACACAGTCATACCTAGATTTGAAATGAGATTCCTTTGATCTTGTAACAAGGTAAGAGCTACATTCACTTAACACTTCAATTGAAAAAAAGGATAGTCTATACCCTGATCAGGCTGATACCCATCACATAATTCTGTCTCCTCCTAATTTGACTGAAAGAGAGGTCATGTATCCTGAGATGCTCTGATTTTAATTTTGCAGTATTTAGAACCATGAAATCCATTTTACCCCAAGCCCACAGAGACTAATGAGTTTATACTAATCATAGGTCTTAAAGGACCTGTGTCTTTAATACACTGAACATAAGACTTTAAGGGACTGAATAACATGGCTCTAAAATTATCAATTATCAAATATATCATGCTTATTATGAAGACACTTTAAAGGACCAAGTGTGGTATTTTATGTAAGCACGAACCCATGATATATGACCTAATATACCATCAATAAGCTGAAATTGACCCCAACAATACATAAGCCCTATGAAAATATGATCAAAATGAAATCTGAATGCCAGAATTACCAAAAACACGAGACACTCATGTTTGAGACATTTACATCAATATACAACACAGCTTTTAAACATTGCATTGGTGGACAAAATTAAGCGCCAGACTTAAAAGACATCCTGTTGATTGGAATAGAGCCTTGGGACACCATCACAGAATTTTGAAAATTATACCGTATAAGAACAATCATCGAGAGACAACATCACAGAATCATACCATATAAGGAGAATTATCAAGAGACTGTCATGTTATCTGGTTTGATTGAAATCCTCAATGATATCCTTGAATCCTCATACAATTTTCATAAATCATTCAAATTTCCTCCGCAATGATTGTAAACTAAATCTCTGCAATTAGATTATAGCTAGATTCATTAATTACTAATTTAGAACACTGACAATTTCTTTGTTTAAAATAGACACCCATGAAATACCTTTTTATACTACTTATAGATATTTCATGAGAATGTTAGACAGTGGACTATAAATAGTTTCCAAAGGACATACCACCCTAGTTAACCTAATTGTATTCATCTGGCAGTAGTAGAAGATGCATCAATATTGAAAGTCGAATTACATTAGTATTGGAAAATTGTATCTTGTATTAGTTGGAAATGAGCAAACAATTTCTGTTGATGTTTGATATTATACCAGCCTACCAGCAGAATGAATGTTTTCATGAATCATAATTGTGTCAATAAATACCAACCTCAATGTGGAGATAGCGAGATAGACGTTTTAATATTTACCATCTTAGACATTTTATTATTTGTCATCTTAGACATTTTATTATTTATCATCATGTTTATACTTAACTTGCCTGAGGCATCTCCCCAAAAAAACTCATTTTTGGACTTTAGGCAAACATTATGTTTTTTAGGTATGGGAGGGGGGGGGGTAACATAGACTTAATGCATATCTTGTATCCATTCCCCCCCCAGTGAAACACAAACAAGATCATGTTAATGTTTTGTTGTTGTCCCCTCCTCACCAATTCTCAGTTAAACATGTTAAACAAGGTCATGCATCAAATTTGTTCTCCAATGAATTCCCAATTAACAAGTTTCTTGTCCATTCTCAATTCTCAAAGTCCCTCCATTCTCAAATGAACACAAACTTGGTCACAAATCAAACTTGATTTGCCCCCCTCCCATTCTCAGGAATCCTGAGTTAAATGTTCTAGCAGTTTCCTGTAAGTTGCAGCTGTTGTGACAGATGTGCAACCAGTAATATAAATAAAGACACCCCTCCAATCAAACCATATTTTTACATCACTGGGTAGAATCTCAAATACCTCTTGCAATTTTCACACGCGGAACACGGCTTAAAGGTCCCATGTAATGTTTAAACCATTGCCACTTATGGAGTATTATATTGGATCTTTAACATTTCTGTGTACCATTGTTTTTGGCTAATTTAGCTTACTGTCCAAGAAGAAGATCATTCCCATTTTGGACCAACCAAAAACTGAGTGTTCAAGAATGCCCTATGGCCCCTGTTGGTGCCCTATGCCCTCTGTATGTTTAGCAGTTACTAATTAATGTTTGATGAGCATATGTTCAGGAGAGTCTCATATATAAGAGAACAGCTTTCTATTAGAACAGCTTGAATCCTGTAAGCTTATATAATCTTATTATAACCCCCAAGATATGTCTCTAAATTAAAGATAGTAGCCAAAATCGCCATATGCCTTGGATCCATATTTAGATTAAGATAGAAATAGGTTTGGTAAATCAACAGAGAAATTTTGTGATCAATTATCTTGAAATTATGGTCGCAATATTGGAATGAAAAATAATGAATGAAAAATGAGGTATCAACCACTTGGTTGAAAAGAGGCCTTGAAGATATTTGAATGAAGCCCATTTTGTCCTCTTTTTAAAAAATATCTTGGTCAAAGAATATAATAATAATTTATTCTTATGCTGCGTATCTGTAGCATGAATATTGGACATAGTCCTAGACTGATGAAAGAGACCGTGGGGAGTATTACTTTTAAAGTCAAGTCATACAGTGTATGAATTTATGGTCTTCAGGGGTATTCAAATTGACCTTAGGACTGTTCAAGAAAAAGTGCTCTCCGTGTTCTAGGTCAGTGTAAAAAGGTTTTGATCCTGTAAATCTAATGGGTTGCCCCTGTCTGCATAGTTAAAAGCTTATGAATTGATGATTTTCACTTCCTCTGTAAAATTGAACATTTCCCTGGAGAAATAAGATAAAAGTGACTCCCGGAACTGGGACATGGTTTGGAATTATACAATTCACTCAAAAAGTCAAAGGACAACATAACGGACATGACGATGTAATAATCAGTGATGCATGCACATCAAGTCATATAGAAATTCTTCAAACAAATGAGCAATCCTCTCTATCGAGGGCACATAATGTAAATTCCCATAGAATTCTGTAAAGGGGATAATAGGCTTACAACAGATTCAATTCCAATTGCACCAACTGCCAATATATAGTCTAGCAACAAGGCTCTAGCCTGCTCCCCCCATTATCTTTTTCCCTGTTTGTGTAGTGTTATAGTATTTGGAGGACACGTGGGCTTGATGCAAGACTTCTCAATACAGAAATATTTAAAATCCAAAATAGTGATCTCACACAAAAGAAACTTAAAAACGTTTCCACATATTTGTCGAGGGTAGGTGAGAGATCTCAAATAAATGGATCATATTCAGAATTCCTCAAATTTTAATCAACCAAATGTTTAAATATGATCACTTTTTACTTGTTATCTGTCTCTCCCTTGATATCGGGAGATCAGGTAGAACTTGCAATTTGAGATATGAAAGCACTAATGTGTTTCACATGTCACCTGATTCATCTTCTGCTTGGCCTACCATAAAGACCATCTCAACCCAACACCTGGTAGGTCTTAGCATACCCTTTTGCAGCACCTTTTTTTAAACATACACTCTGAATTTAACACATGATTTATTCATCTAGCCAATATCCAATCATAATTTGAGCATTGGAACACATTCTATAGATGTAGCTGTGATTCAATTTTCAAATTCCCATCAGGTATTGAATACTCATTTGAGATTATTAGGATAATACTGGTATCATAACAGTATACGTATCTGTTATAGTCAGAGTGTATTGTGACTACATGATTGAGATTCAGGGTAATATATCCAGTTTTAGAAACTAGTCTACTAGTCTAAGTAACCTGTTTACTTGTGTTGCATCAAGTCTTGCTGCCCCCCCTCTGCTATTGCCTGACCAGAGAATGAATAGGTGGAAACACAGGGGACTGATACAAGACTATGTGACAATTAATGCATACAAGGCATTTATATGCAAAATGTCACCACCTCTCATTTGTTACAGATGCTGACTGCCGAATCCAAACGCTGAACAGTCTACAAAAAAGTTGGAGACTTAACGATATGTCACCACTTATGGTGGTGACATAAACCTTCCTTAAAACTTGGGCAGTCCAACTTGCATACCCTCACTCAATCTGTACAGGTCAGATGGTCCAATAGGCCATGGTGAAGGTTACACAGGGGGGATGCCCAAGTTTTCATGCTCTCACATTTACTCCTTTCCCCACTTCATCATCTCAAAAAACATAAGTCACAAATTGTAGTAGAACTTTTACTTTAATAGCAGAAAAATAAAGTCTTACAATTCTTATACTCTTGTCAGCATATATAATATTGACCCCCTCTGGGCAAGTGGTCTTATTACTAAAATAAAAAATATCTTTGCGCGATTTAGGTTACATTTGTGTTTAAACTTGCACTCTGTCCTTTTTTATGGTACAATACAATGTCATAAATAATAATATTAAAATAGAAAATACTAATGGTACTAAACTATGTCCATGTAGGAGTGCAATTTCCCAATTGCTATTTTCGTTGACGTCTTTTATACAAATAATATATTATAACTGCAGATCTATTGTGACTCTGCAGCCCTTTATAAATAGCCATGACATCATCAATGTGACATCACAATAGAATAAAATAAACACTATATCTTTACCATGTCATATAAAACATTCATTGCTGATAAAATAGAATTTAAAACCAAATCTCATAATTTATACGTATCATATAGCTCCACTATAGTGTAACACAAAACTGCAAAATAATATATTATTTCTTATTATTATAATATATACGTTCACGACACAGCTGCGGCTAGTCACAAATAGAGCGGTTCGCTCTCTATAAAGCACATAACACTCATACACTATATACTAACTCGTAATAAAATTAATATAATATAATAATAATATATAGCTTCAATTAAATTAGGATAATAATATGATTTTAAACATCTTATGTATTTATGAAATACGTATTTATACCTATTCATATTTGTTCACATTGTCGAAGAATAAAATACTTTGTGCTCTTTATATTATATAATACTCCTGATACTACGCTACAATATCCATTCTGTTTTAACTAGACTATTTCAATTACTAATTTATCTGTCATCAATTTGTCATATAATCTCATGATATATATTTATGTATATATAGTATGATTTAGCACCGCTGACAGCCACCCCTGGGGTAAGCCACACCCCGCCTTACCCCCCAGGCCAAGATTAAAGCTGAGGAGAACATTGTCACAACACAACACCTTGCATATATGTTGGCCCTATCAAGGCCTTATAATAAAAATGAAAAAATAATATGGAGACATGCCCAGGATTTGCAAGTAATATATAATGGGTTTGATAATTAAGTAGCATCCTGGGCGCGGCTCTGATATATGGCATGCATATATGTCAAATATGATCTAGGGGGTGAGGCACGATGGGGAATCACCCCGGGGCTGGCTGTTGGCCTTTGTGTGTATGCTGGGTTATGAAAATATACGTATTGCCTGAGTCGGCAACTGATGGCAAATTGGGCACTGTCGCTCACTCTCCGGTTGGCTGAGAACCAGGTTGGCACAGTCTAGACAGAACATGTTGTGGCCACACGGCACCAGTGCCGCAACAATATCGTGCTTGGTACAGACGCAACATGTGCGCCCGATACGAGATCCTAGAGACTCTGTGGGACTAGTGGAAGAACTACCGCTTGACACCGCGCTGTGGAAGCCATTATGGTAGACCATGCCGCCGCTTAACGGGTCACTACGCATGCGACGAACAGATGGATGGTCGTGTACGCCATTTGTGGAATCAGTTAAGGTGGGTGAGAGGCGAGAGGTCGTAATGGCGTTTTCATTGAGACTGCTACTCCGCTGTGGCAAGGTGGCGGTGGGCTGGGTGCCACCAAACATACTGACGTTTGAGTGCTGGTCGCCGAGGTCAGACCATACAGATGCAGGAGGTGGAACAATCATCTGATCAAATGTTGGCGAAGCGATCCCTTCATCGTTGTCATAGAAACCATTGGTGGTTGTGAAACCGTTGGTAAGCCCACTTACTGAGATTTTGGCAGGGTGGCCATTTGTTGGCGGAAATGTAAAAATGTTATTTGAGTCGATATGGTTATTGCTGTGGCTGCTCTGGCCGTTATAGGTAGAGAAGGCTGAGGTTGAGCTTGGAGCCTTGTACATGGTTAGGTAGTCATTGCTCAGTTCATGGAATCCAGAATCGACACCGTTGCTATGGAAATCATCAACATCATTGGCACCATTCTCCAGGGCACCTCCTGTACGCATGGCAATGTGGCTCTCTATCTCATTACGTGCTTTCTCCACTTTTTCCGGGAGCCCAGTGACCTCAAAGACAGGCTCCTTGTCGCGACTGGGGGTTACAATGTAGGTGTTGGTTTGTTGTTGGATACGTTTGATTGTCGCCCCCTTGGGCCCGACCACCAGGCCGACTACACGGTAGGGTACGCGTACCTGGATTGTCACTTGACCTGGGGTGTTAGGGCTAGGGGGTCCTTGGGCTATGGAGCCTGGGGGTGAGGGTGTACCACCCTGCTGATTGTTACGCCTTGTTGCTCGGATTTGACTAAAATGTTCAGCTGCAGATAAGATCTCATGTTTGGCTAGCGCTACGTCCTCGCGACGGCCTGTCACAACGAAAACTGGTTCTTCTCCCCGTACTGGGGTCTTGATGTACGTATTGGTCTTGGCACGTAGAGCTTTGATCTTACAACCTGGAAAACATCAGAAAACAGATGTAAATAAACAAGTTATCAATGCATAATGAACATTCATATACATGTATACTGTATAGCAAAGCTATCAAAGTACATGAAAAGGGTAAGTGAATGTTAAACTGAAGTTATAATTAACGACGCTTTGGTAGATTATAAAAATAAGTTTTCATGAATCTTATATTATCAAATACAGATATAAAAATAACATTTTAACCCATAAATGCAACTTAATAACCTATAAATACATCTTATAAAAACTTATTCACAATCAACAGCAAATAAATTCGTTAACCTAAATAAGGCAATATTAATTTTATTTGCGTAAGAAAAAAATATTTGACTTCAATCCAGGTGAAAGGTTGGATTGAGGTGAAGTGGTTGTATTTTAACTGTCCCTCAGTTTGACATGTACTGATATCACTTCCCACTGTGACATCATAATGGTACAGTTTCTACACCATATAACTCATCATATAAACATATCTTCTCCTATAAACATAGTATTTTTTATTTTCTTGTGTGTAATTTCATTTTTCTTTAATCTGTATATACCACTAAGACAAAAAGTTGGCAATGAACAACAACGATATGAGACTAATGATTCAAGTTTGTTTTCCCCCTTTCATCGTTTAAATTGCAAAATGTATCCTCTAAAACATGTTTAGCAGCATGGCTTCTATCAATTACATGCATACATGTTGGTTTAGTATACTATTTTGCATCTGACAACAGTAGGAGCTCAACTCAGGATCAGCCAAGTTATGACACCAAATAAAGATACAGTCCAACTTCAGAAATATTAGATAGGTCTACATTTAAAGCATGGATATCACTTAATTTTAGATTTCTGATATTATTTCAGATGAGTCAAACCAGTAAACAATACTAAATATTTGTCTTGCAATTCATTTAAGGACAAAGTAGACCTTATTTATATATTCCAGTTTACATACTGATAAATATTTTAAACTTAGCCTCATTAATGAGTTAAAAATATGCCCAATGACATATAGCTCAATCGAACATACAAGAAACCAGAGTAATAAAACTACTTTAAATGAATCTCCTTTAATCGAATTTTATTTAACTAAATTTATGACCTTAATTTACCAGACAAGAAAATATAAAATGGGACATAAAGCATACATTGTTATCATATTATGTCCTGAAGTACGAGACTATAATGGTAATATATCTAAATGAATCTTCGAAATAAAAATCCTCTGGGTCGTATCATGTGCTAAAATATTGATCTAACTGTGATGCAGCCCCATACTCCAAACTGCGTTAGATATTGAACCAAATTTTTTAGTTAATCTACTTCTAGTAAGAAAGGACACTGAACACCACTAATATTCTCTAAAATCTATTTTCAGAGTGACATTAATGAAATATTTTTGTAACATTAAGCTACAATATGACGGACGTGGGCGGGTACATATCTCACTGGTTTAGACTAACTTTTTCACAGCAGTCCATTGTTCCTCATTAAAATATTTGTTTATCATCATCAATTTTTCACAACTATCACGTTTACGATAAGATGTAAATGCCTCGGGTATGACATCACTTTGGCATATGTTGCAATTGTTCAGTTGACATGACGGGGGTCTTTCAAGTTCTCACATTATTTAACAATCTACAGTTCTGCGTAATTCACTCCTACATATTACGTCTTAGTTCACATCAAAACAAGTTGTACTGTGCACAAAATCGGATCAATCAGTCATATCAACCCCGAAATCAAAAACAAGCAGACCCAAACAGTCCATGGATTCTTATGCTAAGCCACTAAGGCAACTGCTGACTTCAGGGCAAAGCATCAAATACTTGTGCAACCATTATTGTCACAAAAGCCATCAATTATGGGCACAATAACCCGGATTCAAGAGAATGCCAGAGGAAAGATCCAATTATACGAATTGTGATCTATATATTCTGATAAAAATCCCCACACTTCTTTTTGGGAGTTATTACAAGTGAACACAGTTATAGATGATCATTTTACAGTTTTATAATTTTTCTGGAAGTATGACAATAAAATAATACTAAATGCATATAATAAGAAATATTTGAATTGAATCCAGGTGAAAGGTAACATTGAAGTAAAGTGGTGTAAAGACTGCCCCTCAGTTTTGACAATACTTGTGAGTGATACTTCTGAGTGTTATCAAGTGATTTTTGAGTGGCGCAGCCTGTATCAGAGTGGTACTTTCACTGTTCAATATTGCCTCATAGAAATCATTGGTGCTGGTGTATAACCCTGACTTGCCACTAAACAGAACTGGAATTTACATGCATAAGAAGAGAGCACTGAAGTACCATGCAATAACAGTGGAGACGATAACCCCATTTAACGTGTAACACGGAGATTGCCATTTTGCACGTCTATTGACGTGAATCACGCCAATAAGCAGAATGTCCATTGTAATTCGTAATTTGAAACACCAGGTTAATTAGAAGACCCAGTGTTTACTATAAATACAATCTAAGAAATATTTCTTTTATAGTACGTATACTTAGGTAAACATTAATGATATATTAAATCCCAGGGAAGTATTTCATTCCAAAATTGTGGAGAAAATGCCGTCCAATCTTGTGAATTTTTTGTCAATGCTACGAACCAATGAAGTCACCACCGAACTTGGATTCTTGGAAAGTCTAAATCGATCGATGGAACGCTTTTTATTGCATTTTCTTCAAGTATTTAATCTAATCTAGCACTTGTATGCAGGAATTCGCGATCCTATGTGGGAATTTCGCGCTAAAACTAATCAAAGTTACCTCTCACGAATCCTAGAAAAACGCCATATTGGAATTACTAATACTCCTTCAATTGTCTATATATCGTCTTTCCGACGGGTTTTACAACAAAATTGGTAGTGACCCAATGGTATTTTAATCTCTTAACACAACGTGAGCCCCAATTCCGAGAAAAGACCACTGGAAATCACTAAAATGGGGTCTACTTTCCCTCTTCTTTTTGACCGGAAGTGTTCTCCTGACCTCGATTTGTTGCTGATATTTTCGTTTTTTTCATACGAAAAACGGCTGGATTTCGTTTTTAAACCTTCTTTGCAATGATCTAATGATTACCTTAAATGAATTATAAACAATTTAAATTCCTATCCTCATTAGATCAGAATTTATTAGTTTTATTTCCATCGTTTGTTTACTTCCGGTTTGCTGTTGAATAGATATTTCATGTAAACATTGACGTAAGCACATCATAATTTTTGTTAGTTCAAAATGCAACCCGGACAATAGCAAATGTTTATAATTATAACTAATTACATACGATGCAGATCATGATTTACTCACTAGTTTCCCAGTTCATAACTGCCTGTCGTCCTGCCGATAATATGTGAAACTTTTAAAAGATAATAGTTTGCACGTCAATTGCCGTGCAAAATATTGCACGTCACTTGACGGACATGACGGCAATTGCCGTTATTGTCTATTGACATGCGCACTTATGCTTCATAATTTCACGTCAATTGTCGTGCAACATAGCAATTGCCGTACTTCACGTTAAATGGGGTTATCGTCTCCACTGAATAAGTGTTTCTATGCATACATTCTACAAGTACAGGAAATAATGCTTGACCAGGATTACATCTCTATAATAACAACCTACTTCCCCAAGCAGAGAATATATTCATTATGACATATTCTTTCAACCAAATATTTAGATGCTAAAAGTTTATGAAGTTATAAAGAAAATGTGTTGATCTGTAACCCAAATTATAGCGCGTATTAAATAATAGCAAGCCGTACATCATGGCAGGTTTAATATCCAAGATAACATTAAAATAGTTTTATACCCTAAATCCAAATAGACTTAAGCACACTACCCTCTTACGACTATAGACCATTTTACTGTTTTAATGTTTTTATGATCATAACAATCTCAAATGTGATTCTATGAGCTCAGTACAATATGAAACAAGATTTATCGGGAAACCCGCACAACTGCTCACCTACCCAGCAAACCGATCACAATATAAGATAAGACAAAAGTGTTCAATAAAAATGTTATTTACTCAGACTACTCATTCTGATTGCATAAAGCTAGGTCATAGAATCATTTCTCACTCAAAGAGTGCATACTGTCAAGTTCTTGCTCAGGGTATACTATTTGAGTAGCGAGTGCTATAAACAAGACTACCCCCAGGGATGCAAACTGCCCAGCAATCGTCCAGTATCTCTCAGCATCTGCCAATAATATCATCACTCCATCTTCTTCAATAATCATTAGCCCCTAGCTAGCTTTAGTAACTGATCTGACCGATTAAAAATGAAGAACTACTGTCTTATCATAACAAGACTGTGGAAGTATTGCTGCAAATCAACCCCCCCCCCCCCCCGCCCACAATATCTGTAGTCAGTTGATCAAATATTGGTCTACTTACTTGAGATCTTTAATGGTACTACTACGCTTTACTTACTTCTGAAGATAATTTTTAGAGAAAAGGCAATCAATATGAAAGAGCTTAAATGTAAGACTAAATCTGAAGACTTAATAACATCAGGAAAAACCCAATCCCCATTACGTGACCATTCTTTGATTATTCTTGAACTATGGGGGCGGAAGGAAAGTATGTGCCACTATTAACAGTTATTACTATATCATTGTAAAATTGCCTGACAAATTGTGTTACTATTTTTACCTAGAATATCACCTTACAGAAGTTTACTGTTAGCACAATTAGCAAGGCCCAAAACGCACAAACAGGCACCATGTATCTCTTTTATATATAGGAATACCATCGTGATCAACACGATCCATTTTGAATGAATAATGACAGCTTAGAACAGGCAATACAGACCAGAGTTTTCTTGATTAAAAGAACAACGGCAATTTTTGAAGGACCCCTTGGTTGTAGACATATTACGATCAATAACCAAAGAGAGTAGCACTAGTCGTAAAGTTTAGCATATAAAATCGGCCAACTTGTCTGATTTACAATTAGGAGCATGGCATTAGGCTATGCGGT